TATGAAATACATCAGTATTAAACTGCTATTTCACGCTGGTATTCTGTGAGAGTGTGGTCCTTCCCCGGTCGAGCCGACCCATTCGTTCCAAACTATAATTAGCTGCACCGTGGCTCTACCACGTATTAATCTTATTCCTCAGGGCTGACAACGCATTAGCATTTTGATTCTTAACCAAAGATAGATATATAAATGCAACATCACAAACTTCCTCTCAGGTGGTCTATGTGCTCGATTGTCACTCTTATTCTATAAAAAGACATGGAGATGGCATAAGAGAATCCATTATCTCATTTCGTCGCGTGGGTGTTATAAAAGGAGACTATAGAAACGTTAGAAAGATATTATAGCTTCCTATAGATGGCGGTATAATCGTCTCTTTACAGTCAGGCGTAAAACACTCAGATCAGCTACCAGTGGCGGCGTAAAGGGGGGGGGGAGGTCACCAAGGAGTGACACTGACAACTCACTCGCACAGTCAGAGAATAGTTACAGAAGGATTACTCCGCAAAGACATACCAATAAGTAATAATCATAATATACTATAGTATCTCCCTGCATACATAATATATAATAATAATAGAGGAAAGTAACTGAATGTGGGCTAGTGCTTTAATATGGGCTAGTAAAAATTCTCGAAAACAAATAATTAAAAGGCGCTGCAAACGAGTATCTTCTATTGCATTCATTAGCCCCAACACCGCAATCACTATCTCATGAGTTCTGCGAGAGGTGATGATAAGGTAAGACGTTGTTGTTTCACCGCTCTCAAAAAAATTCGTGAGATGAGTAAAAATATATTATTTTATCGATGATAATCAGGACTAAATAGTGTAACTATATCTTTTATTTGTAGAATATGAGTTTAATTTTATGTCTGTCGGTAGATTAATTGTTAGTAATGTTGTGTAACTTGTGAAGTACAAGTTCAACATTAATCCGTTCAAGAATTTTGAATATGGGCTAGCCCATATTTAGGTACTAGTACTTGGGTAGTTAGAAATTAGTCTCTACAGGTAATTTTTTTTCTAAATGACACCGACGCAATCAAAAGAACCAAGTAAAAATTGGGATGAAGAATAAATGGTAATGGGGTGGTAATAAAAGTGATTCGCGAGATGACAAAATCATCATCCAATAACGAAAAACGACCGAATAACTCCTAGATTGCATCTTCCACCTAAATCTTTGACTGCAATTCCTAATGAAGACAGTTTGATGTTTACCGAAGCATCATTCTCAAGGTTCTAAATCTGAAACAGAAAATAAATCTCAATTCGGACCTTCAACCTTAACATCCGGATGTGACACTCAAATAGAAGCGTCTACTTCTAGAACTGCACATGAATCTATAAATAATGGCGAACCATCGTCTTCCAGAATTGATCACAGTAGCCTAGGCCTAGTATCTCATAAGTCCTGTACCAAAAAAAATCAGTAAGATGTCTGATAAGGGTAGAAAAGCTGCTTCTGTTATAACATTGTCAAAAAAAAAAAAACAAAAAAACAACTAGCGACGATAAAGTGATTGACAGTGAAGGTGGAGAGGTTTTCCAGTTTGGTTCTGACTAAACCAGATATAATCGGCAAAGAAGCTCCTGATTCTGCAGATGCATAATATATGTTCTGCCAGCAACTTTTTTCAGAAAATTCATTAGACTGGATTAAATTCTTGATGTGTGAGCTCTGGGCACAAAATGACTGTGATGGACCAGAATTTGATAGTTGGATATGAGACATTTGGAAGTAAAATAATTCGTTTCTTCCTTTTACCAAAATTAATTATTATCTCTTAGTAGATGAGCATTTATGCTTTAAAACTTCTTTTAAATTTTCTTAAAAGATAATTAAGTTGGTGTAGCCCATATTTGAGTATCTGTTCCATATTTAGTGCCAATTTGCAATTTTGTTTAATGCTCAATTTTGATAGTATAGTTTAGTAATAAAAACATAAGACTGATATTTTGTTCTTTAAAAATATGTCTGAATATTATAACATTAATGTAAGGTTGATATTTAAATGGTTTTTAATTTTTGACCTAAAAACAAAATGGTAGCCCATATTTAGTTACTCTCCTCTAATAATGTCCTCCAGACCGAATTTCAGTCATGGCGACAAGCCTCAACGGAGGCTAGCCATCGGCGCAGGACAGGATTATATTGCGCAAGTGTATGCGCAAGCACAGGTGGACTCTCTATTCCTTCACTCTCATAATCCGATGGGACGGTAAACCGATACGACCGGAGAGAGGTCAGGCGCAGGACCAACGGCTTTACGTGCTTTCCGAGGCACAGACTCCGGGCAGCTACTGAGAATTTCTTGACAGAAAAACTCAACAATTGATTTTTTTTGGCCCGACCTGGGATTCGATCCCAGGACCTCATGATCAGCAGTCGCACTACTGCAACCACTAGACCAACGAGACAGCCAATCAGTGATTAGTTAATAACCGTCGCATATTCCTGTATTACCGTATGCATTCATTGGACCTTCTCAGATTCAACGTAAAATGGGGCTATTCTGAGTCTGTTTAGAATCTAGCGCTGTGTCTAAGATTTTTATTATTATTTGTGCTTCGGTAGCTTCATGTGAAAAAGTCTTTCAAAACTGAAGTTAATAAAATCCAACTTAAGGTCCACAATGAGCCAAGCACGACTAACCAATATTTCCATTTTTTTATCGAAACGGTACAAGAAAGTAATTTTTGATAATGTAATAGAATATTTTACCTTAAATTTTACCCTACTACCCTATTACCCACCTACTTCCCGTGGGTGTCGTAAGAGGCAAGCAAGGGGTGTTAAGAATCTCCGGCGGAGATTCGATTGCCACCTAAGACGATTTGACCTATAAGGCACTTAACCTGACGGGAAGATTCTGGAGCTGAAAAAAGTGTCGAAGTGATATTATAAGTTTATCTGAAGAGAGAGGGAGGACACGGTAATCCTTGAATCCGGCAACTTGTTCTATCACTGGGAGGGTGACCATCTGTCCCAAGCAGGTGTGAGATTTATCGTCCACAAGTCTCTCGTTAACAATGTTGTAAAGATTGGGAGTGTGTCGACGAGGGTTGCGTGCCTTATACTCAGAATTACCAAATTTTATTCGCTTTAAAAGTCATACAGGTTGACACACCAACCTCAGCATATCCCGATAAGGATTCGGAGGAAATGTATGAGAATATCTCTAGAGCCATGCGTTCCTCCAAAACCTAGCCTAGACTTCAACGCAAAACTAGGCAAATGAGAAAACGGTGAGCTGAAGGTAGTTAATTCGGGATAGAGCAATGGAACCCAAGTGCTTGCTGACTTCATGGAGAAAGAGGGATTCTTTATGATGAAATATTTATTTCAGAAGTGGCCTCACAGAAAGTGGACCTGGTCGAGCCCCACGGTTCGACAAAAAATGAGATTGACTTCATTACGACAAATACTCGGCAACTGTTCAGTGATTATTCAGTGACTGCAAGGCTGAAAACTATCAGCGATCACCGAGTGGTGAGAGGCAAACTAAACCTAAATAGTAAGCTGGAGAGGTCTCATCTTATGAAGTCAACTCTCCGTCCCTCTCGTGCTCTAATCCAAATCTCCGAAAACTTTCAGCTTGAGTTACAAAATCGTTTTCAGTGCCTAGAAGACTGCAATACAATAGATGATACGAATGACAAGCTGGAAACTGTCCATAAGGTCGGAATTAACTTCTGTAAGACCCGTCACAGAAGAAAACAACAACTCTCCGATCATACTCTTAATCTCATGGATGTTAAACGGGAAATGAAGATGTAGTCTTCAGCAAATTTGACAGCATACAGGCAGATCTCCAAATGCACGCGGCGGGACTAACGCAACTTCATCACAGCTCACAGCGGAACCAGGGCTCCGAAGTCTTTGTTAGAGATCTGTCTGCTAGAAAGAGCCAACTGCCGATGCTGATGACCGAATGTAACAGCATCGTTTCAGAAACGCCTGAGATTTTGATTGAAATTGAGAGGTTCTATGGGTGGCTGTACACGTCATCGTTGCAGACACACGCAGGTGTGAACATAGATTCAAAAGTAAGTCTTATCCGACACTATTCCTATGATATTACGGACGTCAGCTTGAGCTAAATTAGAATGGCTCTTCAGTACCTTAAAAGCGGCAAGTCTCCGGGCGAGAATGGAATTACAGCAGAGTAGGAGGTCCGCTAAAATTCCAAAGCGGGTGGAAAACTGGTACTATAAGTTCTTCAGAAGCTCCTTAATTCCATCCTCCATAATGGCACTTCTCCGGAGGCGTGAATCAGAAGTGCAGTAGTCTTATTGTTCAAGAAAGGCGACAACGTTCTCTTGAAGAACTAGAGACCGATTTCCCTTCTGAGCCGCGTCTACGTGCTGTTTTCGAGTCATTACGAATCGGCTTTCACGTAGACTCGACGATTTTCAGTCTTCCGAAGAAGTCTCTCTTCTCTCGGACCTCGGCAGCGAGCACACGTATTCAAGTTATCGTCATTTTATTTTAAAAATTAAGTTAAATTTAAAACAGTTTTTAATTATACTAAAAAAATAGGAGCGCATAAAGTAAAAAGAGCTCTCAGTTAGTGACGTCACCTGCGAAGCGCGATATCACAAACATCAAGCAGCGCCCCGCCAACTGCCATCACGGAAATCGCGGCGACCAATCACTGCTGACCCGGCTACGCACGCACCGCCCAGCCTCGTACTGACCATCTGCTACGCAACTCGTAGCGGCCATCTTCTTAGCTACGCTCTTTTTGGTCAGTCATAATTCACTTAAATGTTTATGTGCGCCTAGTACTTCAAGTGTCAGACCTTCTTACTTTGCAATTATAGTAATTTTGATCTATTTAAGAATACTTGTTTATGTGCGCCTAGTACTCCCAGTGTCAGACCATCTTACTTTGCCATAACTTTAAGCGAAAGCACTCCGAAAAAACAGTTTCGCTAAATGAACTATCACCTAACGTACACAGACAGGGGTTTTTAAATATCTACGGTGCTATGGCTTCAAATACAAAATTGTGCGCGGGATGTTTAAATAAAATAACTAATAAGGACTTTGTAACATGTTCACTCTGCAAAGATATATATGACACAGTTTGCGCTAATATCTCTCACCAACGCCTTATGCTGCTGGAGAAAGACAAGAAAGAGAAATGGATCTGCCCTGGTTGCAGGAATAAAGAGCGAAAGGGTGGCAATTCAAACACCCCCATTCAGTCCAGAACGGGCCCGCGCGACTGTGGTGATTCGTCGCAGGAAATTAGTACTCCTAACAATGATTACATAACACAGCGTAAAAAACCTCAACTACTTAGTAATCAGAAGGTGAGTTCACCTACACAACCCGGAGATGAATCCTTAATGCTTACAATTAGATCAGAAATTAAATCATCAATGGGAAAATTTTTAAATCAAGCTATAGAGGAGTCATCTATAAAAATGGATTTAAGAACTATAAAAGAGGAGTTAAGTTCCTTAAAAGATATCAAAAGCGGGCTTGAATTTTTAAGTGCGGAATATGATAGAATGAAAAAAGAATTAAAAACGTCAGAAGAGCACATAAAGTCACTTTCAGCTGAAAACAGCAACTTACATACAAAAGTGAACGATTTATCAAATAGACTTGTTTTACTTGAGCAATACTCGCGTGAGACGAATATTGAAGTGAATGGTGTTCCGGAAAGTAAGACTGAAAACTTAATTAATGTTGCCAAACAAATATGCAATACTGTATCTATTCCAACCGATCTCATCGAAACAGCTACCTGTACCAGAGTTAGGAAGATGAATGACTCAAATAAGAGGCCCCGCGCAATTATTATAAAACTTCCTTCAGTAAAAACTCGTGATGAGATACTAGCAGCGGTAACACAATTCAATAAAAAGAACGCATCCAATAAACTAAACACAGGACATCTGGGATACATAGAAAGCAAGTCGCCTATTTTCGTCTCCGAACATCTAGCGCCGTATTTTAAAGCTCTACACGCGCGGACTCGTCAAGTTGCTCGAGAAAAGCAATACGATTTTGTCTGGATCCGTAACGGCCGTATTTTTGTTAGAAAAAATGACCATTCCCCTGCAAAACAAATAAAGAGTTACGATACCCTAAACACACTATAACAATACTTGGACATTTTTAACGGGAATTGATTAACGCATAAAAATGGCTACCTTAAAGATTTATTACCAAAATTTTAGAGGCCTGAAAACTAAAACTAAAGACTTAAGACTTGCAACTTTGTTGGGAGACTACGATGTTATTGTTGGGACTGAAACCTGGTTGGATGACAGCGTTTACGATGACGAGCTATTTAGCAACAACTATTATATATACCGTAGAGATCGCCAATCAACCAGCCTAGCAGGAAAAGGTGGCGGAGGCGTTTTGATCGCCGTTTGCATTAAGTACCACTCGAAGAGAATGTTTCACTATGAAAGCACTGGAGAGGATTTGTGGATATCAGTAAACACATCGACAGATAAAGCGATTTTAATTGGTGCCATTTACATACCACCACCAATAACTGTGTCGTCACTCGAACCTATTATCGACAACTGCAGTGATGTGATTTTATCTCATTCCGGTGATGTGATTATTTTAGGTGATTTCAACCTCGGATTTATAGACTGGAATAAAGAGTCAAGTGGATGTTGTAACTTGACTCCATTAAATTATCAGTGTAGCTTAGGGTACTTATTGATTGACTTTATGTCGTTAAATAATTTGTCTCAGTTTAATCATGTCGTAAACCATAACAGTCGTATCTTAGATCTCGTCCTAAGTAACTTAGACAGTATAATAGTCGATAATTGTATTAATCCGCTCTGCAAATTAGATTCGCACCATCCAGCTCTGTCGATTGGGTTCAGTTCATATAAGTATCACTCTTTACGTAACAAGCAATTTGCAACGTATAATTACAAAAAAGCTGATTTTGCAATTGTAAAAAGTAAATTAAGTCATATCGATTGGGTCAAAGAACTGTCGGATCTGGATGACGTTGATATCGCTGTTTCAAAATTTTATCAACTTTTATATGATGTTATTCAATCAACTATACCCAGAACTAAACGTCGTAGTTTGAAATATCCACATTGGTTCACAAGAAACCTTATAAAATTAATAGCCGAAAGAAATAAAATTCGTTCAAGATACAAGATTTACCGGAATCCTAGAGATAAGATTGAACTTATCTTATCTAATAAACGCGTAGAGTCATTAATGTCAACTTGCTACAATACATATTTAAAAAAACACTGAATATGCTCTCATTAAAAACCCAAAAAAATTCTGGTCATATGTCAAATCCTTACGTGGAGGTCTTTCCAACTTACCGTCTGAGATGTATTTGGACGACAAGGTTGCGCGTGGTAGTGAGGAAATTTGTAATCTTTTTGCAACACGTTTTTATTCGATTTACTCTCCCCCTGACAATTCAACGCAACCGGATCTTGGAGATTGCTATCCACAATTAAATCTAAGCAATGTTGAAATTACGGAGCGAGACGTCGAGAAAGTATTAAAGTCAACTGACCCTAATAAAGGTGCTGGACCGGACGGCATCCCACCCTACTTTATTAAAAAAACGTATAAATATTTAACTCTCCCACTTAAATTGCTCTTCGATAAATCAATTAAAACTGCAAAATTTCCTGACGAGTGGAAAGTTTCCAATGTGATACCCATCTACAAAAAAGGTGACAAAAGCAATATTGAAAACTACCGTCCTGTTTCTTTATTAAGCTTGTTTGCTAAACTATTAGAAAAAATACTCTGCCCCATTTTGTCTTCTCATTTATCAAAGGTAATTTCTAACTGTCAGCACGGTTTTTGCGCAAATAAGTCCACAGTTAGTAACCTACTAGAATACACCTCGAACTTGGCGAGATATGTTGATAAAAATAAAGAGGTTGATGCTATATACACCGATTTTAGTAGCGCGTTCGATAAAGTTAACCACGCCATTCTTTTGTCCAAATTAAATTATTATGGTATTCACGGCAACCTGTTGAATTGGATAAAATCCTACTTATTTAATCGAATTCAAAGAGTAACAATACAGGGTTTCAAGTCTTTTTCGTTTTATCCAACTTCAGGCGTTCCACAGGGATCGCATATCGGCCCTGTTCTCTTTTTGGTATTTATAAATGACATTTCTGCTCACATTTCCTTTAGTAATTACTCAATATTTGCAGATGACTTAAAATTGTATAAGGTTATAGAGTCTCCAGATGATGTAGTTAGATTACAGACAGATCTCACCTCTATCTCAGATTGGTGCAAAAGTAACAAAATGCTACTAAATCCTAAGAAGTGTCTGTTTATAAAAATTACCAGAAGGAGAAACACTATTCCCTCCAGTTATTTTGTAGACGGAGAAAAATTAACAGAATCCGAAGTAGTCCGTGACCTTGGCGTAATGATCGATAAAAAATTAAATTTCAACATCCATATTGATAATATTGCATCCAAAGCATGGAAGATGGCAGGATTCGTAAAGCGAATATGTAAGGATTTGCGGAACCCTACACCTATTCTCACTATATACAAAGCTCTTATTTGTAGCACACTAGAATATGCATCACCTGTTTGGAACCCATCATACCAAATTCACAGTGATCGAATAGAGCGTATCCAGCGCAATTTTACCCGCTACTTAGCCTTTAAAGATCAAACTTGTCCTTACCGTGCTGACTATAATACTAGGCTATCCCACTTCAAATTACAGTCTCTCGGAAAAAGACGTCGACTTAGTGATCTTAAAACACTTCATAAGCTAATTCACGGCCTCCTACTATCACCGGCACTGTTAAATCAATTAAGTATCAGAGTTCCAAGATCTATTCCAAGACATCCGATTACCAAAATCTTCTGTTTACCCAACCAGAGAACGAATTTAGGTAAACGAGCCCCAATAAATAGGTTAATGCAAACGTATAACGACATAACCACCAACGGCGACGTCGATATTTTCCATACGGATAACGTATTAAAATTTGCTAGATTATGTAATAAGTACTTATAACTCTTTCTCTCTTTTTCAAGTTTAGCATTCGTTTCATTGTAATCAAATTACTTGTAAATTTATTGTATATTGTTCTAGTTAAGTAAGTTAACAACTTTCTTATATTAGCTGCACTATTTTTGTGAAGGTTGTATATACCTTTAAAGGCGAATCATTTTGTACAAAACTAATTGTGTTATATTTAACAATGTCTAGTGATAAGCCAATGGTGTATCTGTTAAATAAATAAATAAATAAATAAGCCAGTTTCCGTAAAGGCTTTAGCACCATGGAACACATACCCATCGGCAAATTGTACAATCTGCCACTTTTTCTTGCATATGTGGACTATGAGAAAGCCTTTGATTCCTTCGAATTTTAGGCGGTGCTGCAGTCCCAAGTATACTGTCGGTATATCGAAGTGCTGAAGTGTTTGTACAGTACTGCTATGATGGCTATCCGAGTACAGATCCAGAGTATGAAACCTATCCAATTGTAGAGAGGTGTAAAATAGGGTGACAGTATATCCTCAAAACTCTTCACCGCTGCATTGGAAGACCTTTTCAAGCTGCTGGACTGGAAAGGATACGGTATTAATTACAATGGCGAGTACATCACTCGCCTTCGATTCGCCGACGATATAGTATTTATGGCAGAATCGCTGAAGGACCTAAGCATTATGGTCAATGATTTCAATAGTGCCTCCCAACAGATATGTCCTAAGATGAACCTAGACAAAACAAAGATCATGTGTAACGTCCACGTCACATCTATGCCGTTAGTTGTTGGGAGCACTTAGCTTGGAGTTGTTGACGGGTATGTTTACTTGGGACAAATATTCCGACTAGGTAAGTCTAACTTTGACTGAGAGGTCAGCCGACGGATTCAACTCGGCTGGGCAGTCTTCGGGAGATTACGAAACATCTTCTGGTCAGGTATACGGTAAACCTCAAAACTTGAAAACGAGAATGTTCTTCACTGCTGGCCGTA